AGCCAAGAAAACGCAAAGAATAACAAAGTAATGAATATTTTTAATTGCTGAAACAAACAAAAAGATAAACAAAAAAAAACACACAATACACAAACTGCAACGGGGCTCACGTGGGGGCTACACGGGTGGGGTCGGTGGGCGATAGGCTGCTGCTGCTGCTGCTGCTGCTGCTGCTGTTGTTCCAGTGAAGTGTATACTGCAGCATAGTTTTTTATATAAAATTTTTAGTATGTAGTTTATTTTTATATTTTTTTTTGAATTGAATGTGATTAGTTAACCACGTAAGTTCGCTAATACACAAACATCGTCGCGAGGACTCGTGCTGCATGCAGCAGCAGCAGCAGCAGCAACAGCAGCAACAGCAGAGCTCACTTCTACACAATCGCTGAGGATTTGTTTTTTTTGAGGGAAACAGCTAAAAGACGCAGCAGAAAAAAGAGAGAAACAGAAATATTAATTAATTTGTTTAAAAATTTAATTATTTTAAATACTATTAGGGGAAATAATATATGTAATGTTTTCATATATATTCTGAGCACAGACAAGGGCTGGTTCGGTTGCTACGAAGAAGAAACAACGAAGGACAGAGAGGAATGTTGTATACAGACTGCTGCAGCTATAGAATTATATTTCTTTTTTTTTTAATAAAACTGTTTTATAGATAAATGTTTACGTATATCTAGACTGGATATTTAAATATTATTGTGTACACACACACCGAAACACAGGCGCCAGCAGGCTGTAGAGAAACTGAAAATGAGCTTATGAAGAAATAGAAGGAATGCAAAATATTAAAAGTGATTCATAAAAAAACAAAGAGAAAGCCAACAGCTGCCTGTACACCCGAGTTCCAATGCGTACTGATCCTCATTTCCTTTCTATTAATATTATTATTTTTTATTAATTTTCTTGAAAATGAAGCTTTTTTGGTTTTTTATTTTCTTTTTCTTGATCATATTCCAGGCAATGCCCCTCATAGCCGCAGATCAGCCCCCCTCTTCCTTCCGTTTCTCTCAGGTAGGGGGGAG